TGTCGAAAAAAAACTCGATGCTAAATTATAACAATGTCATTATAATGTCTCTTAATAATTATCAAAGCCTACCATGTTCGATATCGGTAAGATCGACTTATTGTACGAGTTTCAACAATAGATCGTAACGAAGTAGCGAATAATCCTGTCGAGGTCACAGCAAGTGGTCTACGTAAATACGCAAAACCACATTATAAACACATAAAAACAAATCGCGTCACCTGTTCGACACGTGAGACTCAAGAATAAATAAAAGATCAGGATACAATTTCGACTATGTAAGATATAGATACAGAAAAGTCACGCGCAACATGAAAAGCAACGATCTTGTACTTCATACTTGTCTCATAAACAATACATATTTTCTCTTCAATAAATCATATTGCGTAAATTGAACGATTTAACAAAATTTATGTTATACGCATGTACATACATATATACATGGAATAGAAAATATTTTTAGACAATTTTAAAAATTTCATAATTTTAATACGCGAAAAAGTTTCAGGTATATCACTTGTATCGAAAAAAAAAAAAAAATAGTAACTTTGATTATATCAGAATAGCGCCATATTGTCATTTCACGCCGGTTCTTTCCTTTTCATTAGTAAAATTACGGTTAATAAGTACGGCTCGCATACTGTTCATTAACGACATATTTGCTTTGCTCCGTCAGAGGTCTAAGTCTCGTTTAATGGCTCGTCGCTGTTAATGTACACTCAAGTTTTTCCAAGTAAATATTCATATGTATTTGCCAGAGCGCTCGACAGGAACGTATATACGTCGAGTCGCATAATAAATATGCCTTTCTGTCTCTGTCGTGTTGCACGACGGTGCAATCGAGCGTGTGCGGTATCGGGAGAGTAAGACAGAGAAAGAGAGAGAGAATGCATTTGTTAATTCAACGTGTACCAACACATTCACGCGCGTAAGCGGTACCACCGAGTACCAGCGCGATTCTGTGCCTAAAGAATAGCGCGCGAATTCTCGCGACACGTGCGATGCCGGTCGCATCCTCTCACGAGAGAGAGAGAGAGAAAGAGAGAGAGAGAGAGAATCGAAGATAAAATATAAAAATAATACTCGGAAAGAAAAAAATAACTCTCTGATAGAAAAAAAAAATTATCAAGCTATGACTATGAATCATTGGTATTCTATCAATAATCGCGTTTTTATATATCATTTATTAATAAATTTCATCTTGTTTTTCATATCTTGGTTTTATATATTGCTTCTGTTTTTTCATTAGATTCCATGATTTTTTCCTCTTAAACAGGCAAAATGAATAATTAGTAGTCTTTGTCTTAAGGATAACAGCTATAAAAGCTTCGGTGAGATAATCGCAAGATAAATTGATAATTAACTCAAATAAAATAAATCAATTGCGTTATCGTTAATAAATACCACGACTAGAACACGGAAATGGAACGTATCAAATTGAACTATGATTTATGTCTACCTAATCAAAGAGCAGAAACTCGGCGCTGTGACTTCCGTTAAGCTCAACTTCCTTTCTGACAAAAGAGACTCGTGACAAAATTAAGAGTTGTTTAGATACTGATTCAACGTTCTTTTTACACTACAATATTATTTTACAAGACAAATTTTACACGAATTTATTTAGGGGTCTTGAAAGGACCTTCGATCGATTCATTATTTATTATTAATTTGCGAAGACTCATAATCCTTTGACACATACAAATAAATTAATAAAATAAAAATATTTAAAATGCAGCGATATTTTAAAAGTCACTTAAATCACTTTGCCATTCGGAGTTTTCACGTGGAAGAATCGTTCGGTATCTATCATCTACGAATTTCTAGTCACAGCATTGATAGTAATATATCGGAGCAATTAAGAACTAAAAATCAGCCGTATTCCACATTAAATCCATGAGCAACGTCGTGAGATTCGAGGAGAGGCTTGGCTCGCGTCACACAGAGAAACTCACTCGTCGGAGGAGAAACCAAAGAGAGTGTGTTGTGCCTAGTTCTCTCTAAGGTGAGAGTCTCCGGCTCGACTCGCGACGGCCTTTTATTTACATCGTGCGAGAACGCGCGACCGCCCGTCCAAATGATGAAGACCTTTCGACCTATCGCGAAACGGAGAACACGACGCGTGACTGATAGCGATTACTATTAATACGTTCGATGGTGATTTGATTTCGATCTCGCTCAGCTATATTTATTATTAACGTAGGTCAATTTTTGTGAACCCCACGTATCAAGTCAAATCACGTAGAAGCAACATTCAAAGTTAAAAAAAAATCGAGCATAAATCATTTGTCAGAAATGTTTCTTTTGTTTTGTTTTGCACAAACGTTTCTGATTAAAAAAAGTTCATAGATTAGTATTCATAGCTTAATTCCTAAAATGATCGAAAACACTTCAGACAACGAGGGAAAGCTTCGTAAATATCGTTGTATCGTATTACAATTTGAATTAAGATATTGATCGATATATTGTACGTATCGGTTAAAAATTGATATTTCCAGATTATCCATATCTGCCCAAATAATAGCAATAAATTGATAAGTGAGAACTTTAATATGATAGATTTTACAGGAATATCTTAATAAAATTGAAATCTATTGAATTTACAAATAACAATTTCGATAGAGATTTTCAGACTTCGATAAGAAATATATATATATATATATATTTGTAATTAAGTAACTACACTCTCCGATTTAGAAAGCTGCTAATTATCTCATACAAAGTCCTTTTTCATCAAGGTATTTCAATTGTTTTTTTTTTTTCGAATTGATAACACACCGCAACAATTGTCGATCGGTGATATATTGTAAGATATGAAGCAGAAATATCGATATATTGAAAGATTAATAACTATATATATGTATTGCAAACATCAAGAACCGTCTACGATCGGTAAGCGTCGATTTAAATCTTAATATACCTGTCGATATCTCGGAGAAAATTTCTTTCGCTTTCTAAATGTCGATATTTTCTTGCTGTTAGAGACATAGCGCCATTAGACACATAAATGAGCGGAAAACAGTGTTAGTGCGTAGGGCTTTCCATTCTCGATTCAGTCACCTGTTGCTCGATACTTTTCCCGTTCATGTGCCCGTGCTGTCTTGAATTAGTTTTATTCCTATATCGCACGAGATCTCGATTCACGGATGTGATATGTCGCGACGTCGCACGCATCCTCGCATATCGGGAAACGCGAAATGACGGTGGCAAAGTGGAATCGAGATTCGATCAGCCTGCGTGAAATTTCGAAACGATACGATCTTTTACGAAACGAGGATTTTAATATCCATCCGGCGACACACGCGGCAATTACGCTGAGAAAAAAATCCAAATATTCAGAGCAAATATTAGCTTGTCACATGTTTCTTCGATGTTTATTGGTTACAAAAAAATTTGACTGGATGGCGAAATACATTTCTGTGAACTATATTTAATTAGATTGTGTCTATATATTTAATCATTTCTATGAATTGTAAGATGTTCAGTTGCTGTATATGAATAAAATTTTATTTTGCTCTATTTAAATAAATCTAATTTTTTCCACAAATTTTTTAAGCATCTTCGTCCCAGTGTATGTATTTTCGATCTGTATCGCGTAAATTAATTTCTGGAAGTAAAGCATTAAAAAATTAAAAATTAGGTTGACATTTCGTAATCATAATTCGTAATCACGCGAAAAACTTAACAGACTGAATGTTTTTCTGCAACTCATATGCAAAGAGAATTTATATGGCACAAGTTACACGTATATTTGATAAATTTGATAAATTTAAAAATTTTATGGTTTCGAGTAGACTAAATCTATTCTTCAACACGTATCGAAGAATTGTGTCACAAAATTGAAAACGACTATTTATGCTTTATATTGATTTCCAAGGTAAACACAAAACAAACCTGAATTCTACCTTTTTTCCTTTCTGCCTTTTTCTGTTCAAGATAAATGTACGAAATAATGTTCGTTTCCATCAATTTAGATTAACTTTAATTTCAGTTTGATTTATTCTTTAACTTGTTTTAATTCTTAAAAACAAAAAAAATTAAAATAATTCGAATAATCCGAAATAATTAAAATTGCACTGGTAGGAGGAATTAATAAATTTTACGCTCTTCTTTCACTGCACGAACCAAGAGATCGAACATGACGGTCCAACTTGAATTTTCGCATTTTCGTTCTACGTCGTACCTACAGAACAGGTATACGAATAAACATATCTACCTGCACCTACAATCTACCTGATACCTGTAGCTGGGTACATCTACCTGGACATCCGGTTGTAAATCACTCCCGAAGGAAAAGCAGTATATGGGACAAAACAGAATAGTGACAGATTCAAAAGCGATTTTTAGTAGGGATTCTGGACAGCATCGCAAAAATTCTGCACAATACCGAAGAATTGATGATCGAGGATTAAGGTTCACCGGATTTCACAATAGATCGTGATCGAATTCACTTTCATCATACGTTCCGCACGTGTCGTATGTTACACGATATATAAAGAATCCGAATAATCAGCTAATGTTTATTTCCATCAAGATTAATATTAATCTTAATTTAATTTACTCTTTATTTTCCTCTAATTCTTAGAATTAAAATGAGATGAAAAGTAAGGTACACAATGGGGATTGAGAGGGGAATATTAGACACAGTAATATTAAATCTTGGAAATGAAAATTCAGAATAAAGATTAAACGTAACGCACAACGAACATAAATAAACATAAGGTATAGGTATAGCTAATATTTACTTGTGGCCATTGTGCATAACATTTAATTCTTATTCCGAATTTTCATTTCGAATTTTCCAAATTTAATATTTATTTCTGTTCCTAACATTTCCCACCTAAATTAAACCGAGATTAAAGTTAATCTATTTACTTGTTGATCGACACGATTTACACGGCGAGGACTCGAACCAAGGGAATCGGCAACGTCGCATATAACTCTGTTCGCGATAACACTTTAATAATAAAGCACGATGGATCGAAGACGTTGACGAGTCTTACCTTAAAGAGATGCTCGCCGCACTCGAACATGGAGGTGTTACTCATGACGGCAGTCGACATGTTCCTCGGTTTCACAAAAACACACTTTGTAGCTGGAGTCTGCGCGCACGTCCGCCTCCTTTCCGATCCTTCCTCCTTTACTTCTCGACCCTTGCAACGGGCGCGAAAAATGAAGCAACAGCAGCAGCGTGTAGAGGAGTCGTGCGGAGAGGGGGAGCAAAACTTTCCTCAGAACACAATAAAACTGCCACTCCGATATGCGCCGTTATTATGCGATATCGCCGCCGTAGCTCGCATCGGAAAAGCACCCGCGCGTAAATCAAACGGTGCGTGTCCCGATCGACACGTGTCTCGTAATAATGTTGGTAAAAAAAAAAAA